GGAGGAGTGGCTAAGAGGGCAGTTTTACCAGTTCAACTTACCTTCTGACACAATATTGGCGAACATCGGATCGACTTTGGCAAACATGTGTCCTTGGGACGACACATACCTGCCATTGTCTCGTGGACTGTAGTGACCGATCTAAAAGGAACAAACTGTTGTTATTAATCTTATCGAAGCAGACGATTACAAAAAAATATAAAAAATGTCTGAACTAGTGTAGCTGTTCTGTAGGAAATAGACTGTTGGGATTATTATTTTTTTTCAGAAACAAAATTATGATCCATTTAAGGTAGATAATATCATTCTATCGTAATCAATTTAGAGGCAGTAGGATGTATTGTGTGATCTATCTAAACGAAATACACCATTAATTTAGTGACCACGTTATAATACAAACATAACCCGGACACAAGACAAATATTTCACTCCTGAGCTTAGCCAAGTTTGATATACAATTAAAGAAAGCCAAAATTCAAGTTATCTTAGGTTTCATTGAAAGATAGTGTCCAATTGAAGCTATATTTAATTGACGTCAAAGATTTTGAGTTTCACTAGTGCAATTATTTAAATATCTTGATAACGAATCAGAATAATCTTACGTTTTAGATAGAGCAGAAAAAACAGTTGGTTTTGATCTCAAAGTATTAGTAGCCAAAAACAACCTAACATGTCAGATAAAACTTAGTAATTCTGAGGTAGCAAATTGTCACTAACCCCCCATAGCTGTGCTGTTCTCAAAGATGTCACTTTCTGAATGACGTCAGCCAAGGTCTCCACGAAACTTTGGTTGATAGGGGCTGCCAGATTGGCCTGCAGGGACTGGCAGGTGATGGCCGCCATGTCTAGAACTGTGTTTTCCTGTCTCTGGAAGCTGAGACATTTACCCCTCAAGGACAAGAATCCAGACGCGCAAATCTTGGACTGGTCTGGGTTAAAACGGGTATTGGATAAAGATTAGCATTGTTTTATTTTGGAAGAAAATTACCCAAAATGTTAGGTTATATTAGGTGTGAGCTATTGTTAGGTTTGGTTAGATTACATAGCTAGGGTTAGAGTTTAACGTCAGGGTTAAAGATTATCTCAAATACAGTTTTCCTTTCCACGAAATGATTGAAAAGCTTTTAATCATCAGACGTTGCTTTAACACACACACTCGCTTGCTCTCTTTGTCTCTCTGTCTGTCAATCGGTCTGTCTCTCGGTCTCTGTCTCTGTCTCTCTCTTTTTTTCTCTCTCTGTCTCTCTCTCCCTCTCTCTCTCTCTCCCCTCTCTCTGTCCTCGGCCCGGGCTCATTTAAGTATGCAGCCACATGCTATTGCTCAAGACAACGCCGTATGTAACGTATTGTTATATCTAACAAAATCCCAACTCTTCTTTCTGAAAAACAGTTTTTCAAATGCTGTAACGGCGACCCAAATGTGGCCCCAGAGAGAGAGAGGGAGAGAGACAGCGAGAGAGGGAGAGAGACAGCAAGAGAGAGAGAGAGATAGAGAGACAGAGAGAAAGAGAGAGACAGAGAGAGACAGAGAGAGAGAGAGAGAGAGAGAGAGAGAGAGAGGGAAAGAGAGAGAGAGAGGGAAAGAGAGAGAGAGAGAGGGAAAGAGAGAGAGAGTAGACCCTGCGTATGCGTACTAGGTCGATTTATCTCCGAATGATGGTCTAAAGTTTATAATCCTAACGCGCCATTGAACAAGTGGCGTGCCTCATTGTCTCACCATCGATCCCACAGCTTTGGAAGCTCCCATTGACCAGGTAGGTCCCTGGAAACATGACGAAGTTATCGTAGAGCATCTGACAGGAGTCGGCTGCGTCCTCCTCTTGAAGATGGGAGAAAGAAAGGAATAGGTAAGAATTTGAAGATTTCGTTCGCTTTAGCTTGCAGTTACTTTATTTTTAAGGACGTTTTTTATGGGAGGAAGGGGGGGGGGGCAGGGTTGGTTTTTTTTGTTGTTGTTTTTTGTTCCTAACTTCCATGTTTATATTTGTTTATTTTCATTATGTTTGTTTTATTTTTGGTTTGCTTGCTTTTCCTTTTTTCTGGG